GGTGCGTGGATAAGGGGGCGAGGGTCAGGAGGGGGGGGGTTGCCAGCAAGAGGCTGCACCGGCAAGTGTGGCGGCCGGACCACATAGGCACACGGCTTGCTGCCACGTATGCCATCATCCCACGAGGACGGCGCCCCTGAAACATGAGTCCCATTGGCAGCAGCAATTTTGAAGCCAAGACAAGAGCCAACACAAAAGGGGATGAGGCTAAGGTCCACAAAGCGGGGCGTGCGCACTTGAAGAGCACGTGGATGCGGTCGATGTAGCGGCCGTAGAGGCGGATGGGGTGGCGCCCCTCCACGCGCGCGTCCCTGAAGGACAGGAACTCGTTGGGCATCTGGGGGGGCCCCGCCAGCTCGCTGGAGCGCGTGAGGCCCAGCAGCAGCAGGTCCATGATCAGGCCATAGTACTGGGGGGCGGTTGGGGTGGGGGCGGGGGTTTAGTAATCTAGTCATGCTAAAACTGATGACGCGGAGCCGTGAGTAAAAGGGTTGGTTTCTTGGGTGCTGGTTTGTGCTTTTGTGCAACCAGGCAGCTGCACTGTGTGATCAACGGATGACGGGTAATCATGAGCTGTCGTACACACAATGCCTCGAGCCTGCCCGGGGCGCGGTCACTGTGCCCCTGGCGCGGCCGCTCAAGCGCCGGCGCCCGGTCGTCACCTGCACGATGAAGGAGCTGAACTGCAGGCCGCGTATGAGGCCGTAGTTGTTGGTGTGCATCATGTCCTTGTAGGTGATGGACACGTTGTTCTTGGAGGACATGTAGTCCGCCAGGTTGTGGTCCGCGATCAGGCGCAGCAGCCTGGGGGGTGGTGTGTGCGTGTGTGGCATACATTCATGAAATGTGCATGGGTGTGCAAGTGTGCATGAGTGCATGTGAGTCTATGTGAGTGTGACCGTTTGCATGAAATGCGAACAGGCAGACAGCTTCCAGTCGCTTGGAAAATCCAGGCCGATGAAAAGACGCACGTTCTAGGTGGCCCAACCCGCCTGCCTGCACGATTGCCCTGCCGTTGCCCCCCTGCCCCCCCCCACCTGTTGAGCAGCGTGAGGTCGACCTTCTCAAACATCTTCTCCAGGGTCGTCTGCATCATCACCACGCACTCCCCCTCCTCCGTCTCCCAGATGCCGCTCAGGTTGTTCAGGCCCTGCGACATGCGGGGCCGGCGGGTGCGCCAGGGGTGTTCGGTACAAATCAGGGGCGCTCGGCAGCTCCCGTTACCTGGGAGGCGCTCTGCACAAC